TGTTTGTTTGAAACCCGAGACTCACCGCCAGTGCCCGCGAATGCTATGCAGTGCCAGCGCTTGGAAAACCGTTTGCGTGTATTAAACGCGTTGAATATATGGCTCGTTATGTCGGTGTAGGTGTCACTGCAACGGATGGCCTCCTTTGCCCGCTCTATACATAAGTCTAGTTTAGACGACGATATATTAATTTGATAAACCACTTGGTAATCATCCAGGTTATTACGAGCTGTCTCAATCACGCCTTTCATACTCTGATACAAATATTAATGTAACAAGGTGAATCAAATTCTGTATCAATAATTGCATGTAATTCTTACCAATTTTTTATAATCGGCTTTTAATTTCTCAATTTCATCGCAAAGACTTTGATTTTTGGTTAACAAATCACTGGTGTTACAGGTCTTACATTTTTGCCTCTCATTATAATCGCAATAATCTATATGTTGTGTTAATTCACACATTTTTAGCACCGATTCGCAGCCCTTGTCATAGAACTCGCACTTGACTTGCATTTTGTTCAATAAGTTGGTCACAAGTCTGGGCGCCGGACAGACATCTTCGCGATACAATCGTTTGCGATCATTAGGACAGGTATTGCTGTTTGAGAGCCAACTGTGGATACATTCACGACAATAGCATTGTTGACAACATTGGGTGACCATTGGGTGGACCACTACTGCCAGACATATACCACATAAAAATTCATTCAATTCCTCATCGGATACACCGACCACTCGACTCTTGTCAATGCCTGACATTAGGACACAAAATATATCTTAAATTTTGTTAAAAAGGTTTATAAAATTGAATAAATTATTATTTATGAAATAATTGTATAGTAAATAGTTTTTCAATGTTAAACATTTACTTAGTTGATGTTAAAAATAAAGATATGCTATAAATATAGTAGTAATTATTTGTAATTTATAATATAAAATACAAACAGCAATGTATATAATGAATATATAGTTATGTGTCATATCCTAAGGAAATAATCTGGCATTTCAATTCAAAGTAGCATTGATTTACAATTACTTATAAAAAATTAGTTGTTTACTACTGTATATGATATCCGGAAAATACTATTACAACAAATTATAGCAACCAAAGTATCATTACTTGTTTGAGATTACAATATACGGTAATATTATTTATTATATTTAGTGTTGTTAAATTATAATAATTTATATTTTTCCCAAAATAAATTATATAAATTATATAAACACCATGTCAAACTAAAAATTTTTATTTAAATTAAGAATTTTTGGTATTAC